TTGCATTTCATATGTTCCTTAGAGTGCTACAATTTCTTTTAACACAGTTCATCATTCATATTAAGCTCATACTGTACATAAATAACACTGAATTAATTAATTGTTTAGAGGAAACTAAAGAAATGGCTTCAACAAGAAAGATCACATGTTTAATCCTAACAGGTATTACAAATTAAAATATAAAAGCAGCCCACACAATTACATCACTATGAAAATATTCATATATAATATTAAAAAATACAATGCATGCAGTATTTGTTGTGTTTATCTGTATTTAATGAACAACATGGCTGGGTGCTGGGTGCTGGTTTGTGGTCGTAGCACTCTCTATCTAACCACTCGTTCAGGTGCTTTCTCGAGTGATTGCAACCAACTACCGCACACGTAGTTCCCGAACCACTTTTCTTCATGTTGTAATTGTTATATCCTCTTTGTCTCTGCGATATCAGTGCTTTGTCGGCACAACGGAGCTAGCTAGCAAAACAAACCCAGTCCGCCAAAACGGAAGTGCATTGCATCGAAGGGAGGAGTTCAGGATGTAGAGCGGAAACGGCTCAATAACTTGTGTATACATGTGGCGCTTCTGAGTGGTTGTGTATGTCCGTGCGTGTGTGAGCGCATCAACGTGCGCTTATGGGATGGGGGATACAATATTTGCACCGGGGCCAATCACAACCTTGTTACGCCACTGAAACCAGCTATACTTCTGGACTTTTACTTTATTTAGTGGGAAGATAATAAAAAATTGCCATAATTACATGGTATAAACACACTATCTCATATGATGCTTCTGTGAATATTATTAATGGCAAAGTTTGAAGTCACTTTTCACAAAAAACCCTTACTGCTTGTCTGGTTAATTGCTCAAATGACAAAAAAAACTAAAGCAACTTGAATGGCAAAATATGTGTGTCCAGTAAAGCTGGAGTTGTTCAGATTATACTTACAGGTTGTGAAAGTGGCCAGACGTCTGATTGCAGTCCAAGGTGACCGCCAGGTTTGTCAAAGTTAAGTCTGAAGACTGAAACTCAGCCTTACCATCGAGAGCCAAAGCATCTTGTCTGCTAAGAAGTCTGGCGAGGTGGTGATGAGTCAGGAAAGCGTGGACACAAACACACACACACACACACACACACACAGACGTTTGTTCTTAGGAAAAGTGTTAATGCACATGTTGGACTGAGTTGGGGCTCACAGTGTTGGAAACTGAGCTTACAAGGTATTACTGCAAACTGCTGAGTCACAGACACACACACACACACACACACACACACACACACACACACACACACACACACACACACACACACACACACACACACACACACACACACACACACACACACACACACACACACACACACTCAGCCCTTTAATTAAGGCCTGAAGTCACCTCCACATACAGAACATTCCTTTAATCAGGTGCAGGCTCTGAGCTTCTCATCTGTGTCCTTCTTAACAAAAAAGAATAGTCCTGGTTATACAGGGAAAATGAGGAGAACAGGATCGCTGCAACCTAAGCTAAGCCAGATTACATTTTGGCATCGCTTCCTTTACTTCTATGGACGTTTGTAAATCTCAGAACACCATGAAAATAGTAGCTGGGTTACCTGACCTGAACCCGGTTTCACAGCTAGATTAATTCCTCTCCATACACACATACATTAATGTCTAATATGAGATCTCTCTCCATATCAAAAAGTATGCCATGGGTTCCTGCAGATTTGTCATGTGACCCTCATAAAAGAAGCTTTGCACACCTTTACCTTGTCATAATGATATATGCTGTGAGTCTTTCAAGCAAAGATTTGTACAGTTTGATTAGAATATCAAGCAGACTTGATATTCGTTTGTACAGTGACACTGCTGTAATCCACACCTCAATAACTAGCTGTAATGAGGGCACTCATCCATTCATAAACTACAAGAGTGCCTGGAAGGGATCCCTTATTTATGGTTTTATTGATATTGGATCTTGTGTTAGGTTGTAAAGATAAATGTCAGTTTTAGCAGTTAACTTTTTAAATGTCACAAGAAAATGTTCTGTTCAATGGGCATTTCTTTTAAAAAGGGCAAATGGGCATATTTACAAAGCTGTTACTGTTCACATGGAACATGTGATTTCTGCTGGGCAGGAGTCTTTAATGCCAGAACCAGGAGCCATAAAGAAAGGCACTTATTTTATCTCCAGTCTGCAAAGCTCTACGGTGAGCTAATTATTGATGGATAATTGTATTTATTAGCTCCCAATCAGTTGTCCCGATCACACTCACACTTAAAAGTCTCAATAAATTCCTTCAGGCTTTCATTTTAACCTCTGTAGCTCGAAGGTTACCTTGATTTTCATTAATTTTACCAATAAATAGGCTATGGCAGGGAAATGTAATACTGTCTATTTTAACATATAACTTGGCTTTTAGTATGACTTACATATTTATGTAATGTATACACAAAAAATAAGCAATATTTCGCACTTTTTATATAAAGGCCATTTTAAAAATAATAAGTTTCAGGATTTCCAACTGATCTATAAATAAAATTATGTGACCTAGCCCCATTGTGAAGAAAAACAGAGGGGCTCAGATGTAGTTTTTATGTGAACTCAGTGTGTTAATTCAACAATATTTGGTGTCAAGATGACTCCATAAAGGTCCATTGTAAAACAAAATCTAATAAACTAATATATAAAGACATCTTTTAGGTCACCAGGACCTTACGATAAAAATATATGGCAACATGTAGAAAACGTTACCTCTATAACCGAGATAGGTGAATTCTTGCTAAGATAGAGTCCTTGTTGAGGAAAGACAATAAGCTTGCCTGCTCCTACTCCTCCCCCTCCTCCCTATATCAGGCTTTATAATTGAGAGAACTCAGGACTCCAGTGGCTCCCAATGTGAGCCGTAATGAGCTCCTGAGGTTTTACGCCGTTAAAGCGGATTGTCTCCATTAAAGCGAGAAGGAAAGTGTGCAGACACTGACAGGATGCAAAAAATCCAGCTGGTGATGCTGTCACTCATACAAACTGGATCATTGACTTCTTTGCAATAACTTCGACAACTCCGATAGAGGTTTCCCTGGATTTATTCTCTGTCAAAACAACAGCATCTTGGTCTTCTGAGATCCGCCTCCTCCCGGAAGGTGCGTCTCCACTGCGCCGCCATGTGTAGGCTGCAGCCGGCGTGGCTGTGGATGCTGCTCGGCCTCCTGCCTCTGGAGGTCCAGACCCGCGCTTTGACTCTGCAGACCCTGGATCAGAGACAGAGGTACCACTCCTCACTGCCCACTTACACACTGAAGCGTGAATGCTGTTTGAGTTGAAGGTTAATGTTGCTTGCTTTGGCAAAGTGTAATTCATTTTTACATTGAGAAGTGGGATATTTTTACAGTGAAACAGAAATGAAACTGAAACACGTTTATCCTCAGTCAGTGTTATTCCATGTAATGAATGGGTCACATTTCAGAAAGCATATCATTACTATTGCTTTATTTAACTTTATGCATATTTTGGTTCTAAACTTGTGACAAACAAATGTCAGATCCCGTCAAAGTTTCAAATCAAGCTAAATGTAATGGAAAAAGTCCACTTAATCACAAATCCATTATTTATTGATTTGCTGTTTTTTTTGTGTTTTTGTAAATTGAATATTGTTTGTTTCTGGTATTTTGGTCAAACAAAACAAGAGACATGATCTATGGGCATTTGTAACCTTTTAAGGACAAAATCAATCGACTAATCTAGTAAAAAATAAGGAGCAGTTTCATAAATTATACAAATCATCTCCTGTGATGAAGGGCTGCAGCTGGTGAACATTACTGTAAAGGTGTTTCTCTTGCCTTCTGGCAGGCATTAATGTGAGAGAAAGGTCCAAAAGCCAAATGAGACGATTCCTCTCATCAGCAGGAGGGCAGAAAGAGGTGAGGGAGATTTAGTGGAAAGCGTTCATATCTGCATACAACTCATACAGTTGTCATACAACTCAAACAAAAGGAGAGAGTACTTTTTATTTTTTGCAACACCTGAGAAAAAGCTGTATGAAGATTTTAGTGGTAGGTATTGACAAAACATAGCTGGCCAAAGAGAAAGAGTGGAGAGGATCTCAGTGTGATACAACACTGATGGATGTAACATAATACTGCTGTTGCACTTCAAAAAAAGCCATGAGAAAACAAAAATGAAAGGACAGAGAGAAAAAAAGTGAAAGGATCCTGTTTTAATTTAGAAAAGATAGAGCGAAAAGGAGAAGGAGAAAATAATGAGTAGACCCAGGAACACTAACGTTGAGTGAAACATCAGGGGATCTGATGGGACAAAACGTTTTCTATGCGCAAAGTAGTTTTTAAGAGTTACGACAGGAAAGTGTGTGTGTGTGTGTGTGTGTGTGTGTGTGTGTGTGTGTGTGTGTGTGTGTGTGTTTGTGTGTACAGTTCCCCTCTGAAGAACCCCATGCTGTGCTCCAACTTGGGAGGAATGTTGGAGAAGCTCCTTTTGCCCTCAAACTCCCCACAGGTTCACAACCTGGACCACCATACTAAACACACACACGCACACACACACACACACACACACACACGCACGCACAGCAATCCACTGAAATACTTATGGATCAAATCTCTGCATTTGTGTTTCATAACATGTTTTAAATGGAGAAGTGAGATTCACTGCTTGCCCAAGATGCATGTGAGTAATGTATATCTTTTTTTTTTAAAGAGTTTTAAGAAAGTGCATTTCGTATTGCTAGATACAAAGTATAAAAAAACTGTAAAACTCATCTGTCACCATTTTGAGTGTAGGAGAGAGATAAAGATAGTGGAAAGGTGAGCATTCACATGTGGGAGATGCATGTTCTAGACAAGTTTACTGAGCATGTCTCAAAAAAAAGTAAATCTTGTTTGTTCACAGGCAGTCACATGTCCCTTGCACGTGTGCCTCCTAATGCCCCACCAACCAACATTGTACCCTGTGTGTGTGTGTGTGTGTGTGTGTGTGTGTGTGTGTGTGTGTGTGTGTGTGTGTGTGTGTGTGTGTTTGCATTTTCAGTAAGAGTCTAAGGTGTACAGACAGAAGTCTGATCAGAATACCAGTCAGGATTAGTTACAGGATAAAGATCAAGTTATTCTGGCCTACTTTTCACACCGAAAAAACATAAAGATTATATCGCTTCATCCCTCCCTTTTCCCCTTTATTCTTTGTTTGTCTCACATGAACAGCCAACACTTCTGGGGAAGTGTGTGTGTACAGACACATGTAATGTTTACATATGTTTACATAAGAGATGCCATATGTATGTGCTTTGGTTTGCCCTGGATACCAGTGTCTTGAATCAACCACTTAATTCTGTCAGCAGGGGAAAAGGACATGAGTGAACAGATTACGGTGTTATTTTTCTCAGCTTGTTTCACAACCCTACACCGGGTGAAAGCTTTGGAGCTCCAAGTGCTCTTTGTCCCCTTCTACTTTACCCGATCTATACTGAGAGTTGCATAATTTCTGACCGGTTACCTGGCCCAACAGAGCGGCGCTTTCTAGCAACTGAACTCTTACATTTCCAAGAAAAAACAAGGCATGAATGAAAATGAAAAAGGTATTGAGCGTTATGGGAAAGGAAGAAAGACTAGACAGCAGGGAGGTAGAAAGAAAATACTTCAAACAGTCAGGAGGAGGGGTGGAGCCTCCCACCACCATCCAGTGTGCTCTGTGTTTCTTTCATGCTCTCACCCTCCCCTGTTGTAAGATGTGTCTGCTGTTACTGATTACTGTTGTTGATTAACTGTAAATAAAAAAAATTTAGTGGCAAATTTAGACTGCTTAAAATGTCAATTATTGACTAAAAGACGCAAAAGAATCAGCTCATCACTCTTTAACTATATTTGAAGATGAGTAAGCACTTAGTTGTGTCAAGTGTTAATAGAAAACTAAGGAAGGAAAGAACACTTGTTTACTGTTGTACCCAAAGTCCAGTGCCCTTACCTTCAAACACTATCACTCTTTTATCATTGTGTTTCTGGTTACCTGGCAAATGCAAGTCCAATATTGACTCTCTTGTTTTTGGTATTCACCAACTCCTGACATCTGTCATTTTGCTGGAATGTTTTTTTTTCAGCTATTTTGAAGTGTTTCAAATATACCATATAGGAGACATAAATAAAAGGATCACAAATGGGCAATAAGACCACCAAAGGCTGGAAAAGTGAGCTGTAGAAGTACACTTGTAACTTTTCAACAACCTTACTCAATCCTCTCGTTAGTTTTGTTCCAAAAAAAAAAGAACCACAGGTTATGTACAGTGGACATTGTTGCAGTACAAGCCTGACTTCCTGTGAGGCATTTCAGTTGACTGCTGTGTGTGTGTGTGTGTGTGTGTGTGTGTGTGTGTGTGTGTGTGTGTGTGTGTGTGTGTGTGTGTGTGTGTGTGTGTGTGAAGTACTTTTCTTGCATTGCATCTAAACATTCCCTCTCTCTTTCTCTGTATTTCAGGTTGAGTTTATCGAGAACCTCTAAAGATCAAAAGTCCTTCGGCTCCGCCATCATGCCAACTACGTCTGATATTTCTGCTGCCGTTGACAACCACATCACAGAGGGAGACAGGCATTTCATCTGGAGGGCCCTGCTGCACAAAGACTCCCCGCCGAGGTGGTCCGACCCGTTGCTTGACCAAAGAGACAGTGTGCCATGGGAAGCGCCGGCCTGGCAGCGAGGGTCACGGGGTCGTCGCCATACCAACAATGGTGGCTCGAGAGGCCACAGCCATCTGATGAGGGTGGGGTGCGTCCTGGGCACCTGTCAGGTTCAGAACCTCAGCCATCGTCTCTACCAGCTGATTGGACAGAGCGGGAGGGAAGACTCCTCCCCCATTAACCCTCGCAGTCCTCACAGCTACGGCTAACACCACTCCTCCAATGTACTCACAACTTTATCGTTAAACATTGGCTATTATAGCCTGGCTACAAATACATATTTCATTTGAGTTCTTTCAACCCTGCCTCTTAGAAATTTAATTCAGCAATTGTTTTCTTAATTGTGCTGTGAACATAATTGCTGGCTGGATTATGTTATTTTGTGAGTAACAAAAAGTCGTTGCCTTCAAGATAATGGTAGAAAGCAAAAGGAATATGTTGGCTGCTTAGTGGCAAAAGTATATTGTGTTTTTCCTGTGGTTATTATTATTAAGACAACATCACTCTCTCAGTGAAACTTGCAGGTTGTAGACTCTCAAGAGTATCCCCACAGTATCCCCTACAGTTTTCAGATTCAATTTATGAATGTAGGTTAAAATAGGGTCAACGGTACAGTGACATGTATTTGATGTATGAGAGAACAGGTCAGATTATCGATAAAACGCACCAGTCCCAATATGTGCAATAGGAGCATTGGTCATATAAAGATAAGATCAAAACATGTTTCGATAATCCAGTAAGAGTTCTGGCACGTTAGTTTGATTCAGGAGATACATTATCTCTTTTGTCTAACATGACAACCTCTTATGTCATGGAGGTGTGAGCTAGTGTGATTGGGAGATTTTCACAGCGTTATCATTCAATATCGCAAATTAAGGCCCCGTCCACACGGAGATGAAACAGGTGTTATATAGGTGTTATAGTTCTTTATCGTATGGACGGTTCGTCCACACCAGGCCGTAACGGAACCGCAGAAACGGAGCCCTCAAACGATAACGCATCCCAAAGTGGGAAGGTCTGGTAACGTAGCGCTTGCGGCACCGTGTGTACGCCCTAAACGATCATAGCCCGGCCTCTCCCCACCTCTCCTTCTCACCCCCGCGCCACCCGTGTCGTTGCTGATGCGTTTCGCCAACAACAACAATGGCGGATCACAGGGTTGCGTTCGTGCTCCAGACGCTACTGACCATGCTACAGATGTTAGTGCAACATCTACAGCTCCTCTACCACAACCATCAGCCACAAGTGGACATGGAGAACTACATGAACTACATGTTGATAAAATGTAGTTCTCCGTGGTGGAGAATAACCAGGAGGGCAACCATGGCAACCATGCTCGGGGGTCTTATTCGCTGCTTTTGGTGTATTTTGAGGCGGAAGTAGAGCGCCACTTACAGGCCCGGCATATGTACTACAGCGTCTCCACCGGGTCGAGCGGCCTCGTGTGGACGGACACGTTTCTTGTGCCGATTCCGTGTGGACGGAAGACTTTTTAGATATCGACCTCGGTTT